GTTCAAGAGATATCGAGGTTCACAGGTTTTGACTTCCACCCCCCCTAGCTCCCCCCCAAAATTTTTTGGGGGTCTGAAAATTTGGGAAAAGAAGCGCTCAAGTATGAGTAATCAATAGACAAAGTCTGAAGAACTTCCAGAGGGGGGCAAAAAAAGCCGTTTTTGCATCAAGCTCTTTACGAGAACTGTTTCTTTCCCAAAACGCATTAACTTCAAATTCTCAGTCTTCAGTATGTCATCTTTAAAAAAATAAAAAAAAAACTCTGTTTCAGTATGCACGCGTATATGTAGCATGAATGTCCACCTGATAGTGCCTGTACATTGGATGATATTATTCATAGGTGCAAGGCTAGAATGTTCAGCTATTTAACCAAGAAAAATAAATCAAATTTAGAGCTTCTAGATACGTGATTTTCTAATTTCATAATCGACGTTAATCGATAATTTCATAATAGATTTTCGAGCTAAGCTTCCCGGGCGGAAGATATAGGTTTGACTATGTCCTCGGGGGACCGAAGTGATTGAGAGAAAACTTGCATCATTCTGTTTCCTCAAGTGCCGCCCATTTAATTAGTGTACAAAGGCCGCAAAGGCGCTAATCGCGTGGGCCGCGCCACCAGTTTAACATCGTATGTAATAATTAAGGTTGCGCTTTACGTGCGACGCGACGCACAACCCCCGGAGTAAATCAATACGCCGTGTAAACAATCACGTACCTTCTTCCGTGCTCTACACATATTTACACTCTCCGGAGAGAGCCGAAGAAAAGCTACTTTCATAGTGACACTTTGTTCCACTGTTCGCGGATTCCAGGGTGTCTAATTTTCTCATTTTGGGAAATCCTGATTTTCGACAGCTAAATCCCGCTTTCATTATTTTTCCAAATCCTAATCGTATCCTGATTTTTTGCGGAGAAAAATTAATATCACAAAAATAGCTCGATAAAAAATTCCGATTGGACGGCCAACTTGTCTCAAATCCGGATTTTAAGACCGATTTTCCCTCAAATCCTGATGAAATCGGGATTAAATCCTGATTGACCTTAAATCCTGATGGAATCGGGAAAATCGGGAAAATCCTGATGCTAGACACCCTGAGATCGCAACTGAGCAGACCTGAGCAGCGGACGGTCGATTACACACTGATTGTAAGAAAAATCAGATCATTATATGAAAAAAAAAGTTTTTCTTTCAGATTTTCGTGGCGCTGAGGAAAATATGTATACTACTGCAGGAACAAGGAATTATGCAGAGGAAAACTTGGGTGGTAACCAGTAGCGACTCTTGAAAGTTGGCACACGCTTTTCCTTCCATCTATGTACCTATAAAAAACAATCGATTCTCAGTGAGGCAGCTTGCCTCACCTAAAATCCATATTCTCAATGGATTTGAATGAAGGGAACAGTGTTGTCACTGGAGGCAGAGACAAGAAACCCTCCACTCGTATCTCGGCTATGGTGGAAGCTTTTACTTTCGGGACTTCATCATTCAACTGTTGACCTACCTACTTGGTTGATGGTTAAGAATGTGATGGCAGTTTCGTTTTACAAGCAAGCCGAGGTTTGGGAAACTTGTTTGACTCATGAAGCTCACCCGAAGCTCATCATCCATCATGTAGGTAAGTCAACGGCCAAAAAAAAGAGTGATGACTGTTGCTCCCTTATAATTTTTCGTAAGGAATTGTTGTATCCCCGAAAGTAAAAGCTTCCACCTGTTGCCAAGAGGCCATAGTGGAGGGTCTCTTGTCTCTGACTCGAGGTAACCTTCTTGGTTATACGACTAGGGGTCATGGAAATAAGATTCTGTAAAACAAGAGCCAATTCTATTGCACGTTGAACCACAAACGAGAAACTATATATTATTCACACATCCTGTTGCCATATTCTGTATTTTCCTCCACGAGCAAAGCGATTCCAGAAAGCTCAAACCAACTCCGCATCAATATTTCAACACGACAATTAATGAGCTTTGTTAAGACAAATAAATATTTTGAGCTTAAAGTAACTGGACTACATTTTGCGATATGAGACTCTTGGATTTGGCGCATTCATAAAAACACTCAACTGCATACTAAAAGTATTGGAACATACGCTCTTTTTGAAATGAGTCAGAAATAGTATACCAGTTCCTTGCTGCAAATAGCCACTACTTTAACTAGAGAATAGTTTTCCTTGGTGCAACGAAAAACTGCAAGGAAGCTACTTTCTTTATTCCTTTGGTGTATAAGAATCAGCCTTCTCTAACAACCAGTGCGCTAGAATTCGACCTAGCAATTCATCGGTGGTGCGCACACGTGTTTCAAAAATAATAAACAATTCCATTGTGTTGCGTCATTTTCCTCCGACAAACAAATTCAATGAAAGATTTGAATTTGTACGTAGTATAGACCACCAGCAGACCCATAGACGCCTATCACTGTATCTGATTACCAGTGTATCGACAGTGGAACTGCAAAAACGCCTATCTTGTTTGAAATTTTTCGGAGCAAGGTTACCAGTTATTTTCGATTTCAAAATCATCTGACTCTCCTGTGACTTTACAGGGTTTTTGGACACGAAATTCTCCGAATTGTCCATGACTTTCGATGATTTTCTCGGCATAATTTCTAAAAATGCTTTTCCTGACAAATTTTGTGACGCGAATTCACCAGAAATTAGGAACATTCAAACTTCGGGAATTTGAAGGCAGAACTTCTAGATTTCGTCTACAGAGCGTGTGGGTGCGGTAGAGAGTTATTAGATATGTTTCAGAGGAAAATTTTTCAAGATTCCTCAGCGAGATTTCTTTATTTGTCCCTGATTTTTCAGCGGGTTTTTAAAAATTTTTGACAAAACACTAGCGAGAGAGAGAGAGGACAAGGAGGAAATGAAGGAATCGTATAAGTAGGAGCGGGAGGCCGCAATGGACAAGGAAGGTGATTAATAACTTAATGAACGGCAACTTACGAAGGACCTAATATCAGTCTATCAACTTCCTCCTTAATTTATCTTTTACAACCATCCGTTTCAACCAACAGGAGCGCTCCATTTTTTCATTGTCTTCTTTGTCTACAACTTTGTCCATCTATTTCAAAAAGTCGCTCGCAAAGTAAAAGCCTCGAACTTTTCTGGGCTTGCAATAACTTTTTAAGAACTTGAGTTACCCTGCAAAATCTCTGCCCTCGTTTGATTTAGTGGCGTTGTGTGCTGTGCGATAAATCGATTAATCTGCCGTTAGAACCCATGGAAAAAATCTATAAACAGGGTGTTCGCAACGAACACCACAATATTCGTTTATTTACCATAGCTTTGAATGGGAAAAAATCGATAATCGATCATTTCACGCCTCGTCTACTGGTTTGATTTCAGCAAAGAAGAACAAACCAACTCTATTCCTTATAATGTTCACAGAATATTCTTTTCACAGACGAAAAAATATTAGAATAGCTTTCAAAAAATAAAACTTAGTAGTTTCAATTTAAAAACATACATTATAACCAGGGTTGCCATGGATCTGAGAAAATGAAATTCCCTGACACTTCTTTGATTGCCCTGACATTTTCCTGATTTCCCTGACACATTTTGGTGAAATTCCCCGACAACTGAAGATGACATAGGTGGTTAAGAAGACATAATTGAAAATAGTTTTCAGGTAAAAGTTGTTGTTCAAAGCCTCAAACCCATTCTAGAGAGCAAATAAGGGTTATTTAACAATTTTTTCCTAACATTTTCGTCATTTTCCCTGACTTTTTAAAATTCCCTGAAGTTTCCCAGTTTTCCCTGTATTCCCTGACTGTGACAACCCTGATTATACGACGCAAGAGTATGCAGCGTTGCGAACCAAGGTGCACGTTTTCGCGGTTACACCGTCGATTTACGGGTTTTATTATACCGGCTCAAGAGTACGATCATCAGATTGTGCTGTAAATCAGGTTTCTTTCCATAAAACACAATGTACAAATGTGCATCTCATGGAATAAGCTGGGAGTCTTGTGCGAGGACGAGGATTTTGATGGAGGTTTCCGGTGGAGCCGAATACGGACTGATCAGACCTTTGGGGACTGACTTCAAGGTCCGGACAGAGCTGCAGCTGAAGGCATTGCCGCTCATTGGATTCCTGCGGGAAAAGATTCAATCCCATCAACTGTCACATGACGTCATCTATCGGGTTAACCTTCGACCCAGAGAGAGGAAACAACGCGATAAAATCACCGCGCTTTGACTTAGTATACATGGATAACTTCCATACCACACTCGAGACGTGCATTCCACGTTGCAAAATATCCACTCGTCATACATTTTAAACACATGAATGTGAAATATAAATTTAAATTTAAGAAAAAAAGATGAAAAAAAGAAAAAAGCCTTGAAATAATTCACGAAAGACCTCTCTGGAAGCACGTAGAGTCCCTTTATACCCAGAGTTAAGACAACTCGATTATCAGCTGACTGGCAGCCGGCCTTGGCTGGCCATGGAGGCCGAAACGAGTGCACCCAAACGAACGATATTGAGGGATAAGGATCATTAATCCTGCGATGTCTGTCACACAAAAACAACAACATCAACAAATTGATCAATTAAAAAGAAAATGAGATTGGTTTGTGAATAATTTCTTAATCTATTTTCATTTTGGACCAATGGAAATAACAATTTACTCTTGATAAACCACAATTAGGTAATATTTTCATTATTCTTGTTCACATTCAAGGTACCGCCATCTTGGTGCACTCGTTTCGGCCTCCATGAGCGAGAACCAATCAGAATTGGATTTTTTTTACGCCACTTTCAGCCCAACCCTGGCCCAACCAAAAGTGAGTTGTCTTAACTCAGAAGCACGGAATTGTACCTACCGAGTTTAGCAGCCACATCAGCTATTGCCTAATTTAATTGGGCAATTCAATTTTTTACATGAAAATGGTGGTGCAGATTTTTGGGCAATTTTCAGTGAATTTTCTGCATGGTACGAAACAAATTCCTTGACATTTTTAATGAAATCCACATAAACGTTCTCTTGTAAAGAATTAAATTGCCCAATTAAATTTGGCAAAAGCGGATGTGGCTTGGTCCCTCTCTTCTAAACGCGGTCCAATGCTGGTTACTTCTTCTTCATTTTAGTCATTATTTTTCGACATGTTTTGCGGATTTGATAGTAAACTTTTCATACAAGTCTTTAGTGATAATTGATCTAGAGATTGACATTTCAGATTTTCCGAAAATGGCACTCATTATTGTAAAACCCTAAAATATATGGAATCAACAGGGCGAAGTGAAGAGTACATTTTAGGACTAAAGGTGGTTCTTTCCGGGTCCTTGGTGTCGTCGAGCTATCGTACGATGAATCGCATCGATTGACTCAATAGTCTCGGAAGATTTTGGCTTTTCAGTCCGGAAAAGGACGATAGCTCGCTCCTGCGCATGAGTCTGAAAGGATCATTCTTAACCGAAAGAATTGCAAAATTCAGAGAAATACAAATAGGATTCTCCATCCATAGCAAAACCGTCGCGTTCGATACAGGGTTGCCACAGAAGTTAAAAAATGAAATTCCCTGACATTTCCCTGAATTTCTCGTCACATTTTGGTAAAATTCCCTGAAAATTGAAAATAGACTAGATGGTTAAAAATAGATATTTTCAAATACATATTATCACTTAAAATCTATTGTTTGAAACGTTGCATCTACTTTAGAAAGCAAAGAAAGGTAACTTGACAATTTTTTAATGACAATTTCGACATTTTCATCATTTTCCCTGACATTTCCCGGTTTTCCCTGACTTTTTTAAATTCCCTGACAATTCCCGGTTTTCCCAGACTGCGGCAACCCTGATACAAAGGTCGGGTACTGTTTCGAATGCAACGTGTCTTTACAGGAAGAATCCATTTGATTTCTTTTAATTTCTCTGAGTTTAGCAAATTTTTTGGTTGATAATAATTCTTCGGGCTCATGCGCAGAGACCGTCGTCCTATTTGTCTGTTAAAAATTCAAAATTAGTTCACTGACTGCGAGATTTTTTAACTTTATCGATGCGATATATCGCACGCCAATTGGACCACGTCATGAGCCCGGGGCCAATCACCTAGAATCGTTGGAGGAATTTGAATTTTTGACAGGGTTGCCGAACTCACCTCCTCCTTTTGACTTGAGCCGGTATGACGGGGGGCGCCAGGGAGTTGACGGGGGCTATGACGGGGGAGATTTGTTGACTAGACAGGTAGGTGGGGGGCGCCGGGGCGTAGTGGGGGGGCCCCGCCCCCGGGGGCGCGTAAGTGTACATCCCTCCCGTTCCGCCGATCCACGAGAAGAACCCAGTCACGGGGCCAAAATCCGCGCACCACTCGGCAACATCTCTCCCGAGGGAGGCTTTCCCCACAGAATCACTATGGCCATAATTAATAACGTAGGAAAAACACACTTTATAATTAAATAAAAAAACTGTGGGTGTGCGAATCACTCTGCTGCCGCGGTTACACAGCCGAACTTTTAAGCAAAAAATTGAGCACAAGGTTTTAGTTGACGAAAAATTGATAACAGTGGCCGGTCACGATCCGGTGAGCACTCCTCGAATTTTCAAAAAGCTCCTGAAAAAGTTTTCGAGCCGGTAGTAGAAACGATTTTCAATTACGAGGCATATCCGATCAAAATTGGACGTTTTTCCCCTCTTTCGAACAACGCCAGACTTCGAAAACGAGAGCGAAAAAACGGTTAATCACGCACTGAGAACCTCAGGTTTCGGAGAAAACCCGAGAAGATTAATTACTGTCGCGACGGCTTCAAAACGCAATTTAGCACACCAGCCGCCGCAAAAAATAACACTCGAAAACAAACTTGAATGAAGTTGGGGAGGGGCTATTTGCGGCAGATGCAAATATCCTCAACGCTTCTCGAACGAATCCGGATTAAAAAAAAAAAAGGAAAAACCTCGGGAATCAATACATTCCGTCAATGGAGATGTAAACGAGAAAAAAGTATGTAAAAATGGAAAAAATAATGTAAAAGGAATGAAATTTTCAGTATGTGAAGGAGGTAAAAACCACGTGGAATTCGTTACTAAATTTTGAAGAATTCACTGGAACAACACTTCGAACATAGTACGAAAATTTTCTTCGCGCGCGCGTGCGGGGGGGGGGGGGAGGAGGAGGGGTAAGAAAAACTATACGGCCAGCAGCCCAGGAATCACTATATCGAGTTTACGGGAATATAAATAAAATAACATATAAGATATGCGTGGGTATGTAAGATTGAGAGTAAAATCCCTTGATTGTAAAAATATGGAAACCACGTGGAAACTGATGCTGAATACTGAAACGATGGAACGACACACTGAAAGAAACACGACGAAGAATCCAATTGCGATGGTTTTTCTCGAGGGGTGAAGATGAAAACTTGAAGGGTGAATTATTGGCGTAGTTGGAGGAGGACTCGGCGATGGACTGATGGCGCGGTGCGTTGAGCGATGACGTGAAATGGTTTTAATTACTCGTGTGGTTGACGCAACTCCCGGAAAAACACAGGCGGTGGACGCGGCGGCGGAGGTCGGGAAACGGAGTGGCGCGCGTGGCGGAAAAGCAGAGTTGGACGCGAGTTGGGAGGAAGACCCGAGGACCGGGCACCGATGCGATGGATGTTGAAGCTCGAAGCAAGAGCAACACCCGACTGAGGAACCACCGAGTCGAGAAACTCTTCTCGCCAGAGACTCCCACCGCCGTTCACCACGTTCCGCCTTGCCGTTTCTCCATATTTTAACAACAATTTAACCTCCATCAGAACACTTCTGCTCTCCTAAGGAACAACGCCGTATCAACATTCGAGAGTTGCCAAATTTCCCAAAATGAAATGTTTATTTTTCAGAAAAGTTATGAATATTTTTCCGAGGAATTTTCAAGAACTTCTGGTATAATTCCCAACAAAATTATCGGAAAAATTACAAGAAAAATGTTTACAAACACTACCGAAAATTCGTGATTTACCAAAGGAAATTTGGCAACGCCTAAAGGTTCACACGGCGTTCTTCCTTGGCACGGCAGACTTTCAGGAGTCATTCCATAGTCCATCCATCAACTCATCATATTCGCATTTTCCGACTTTTTCTCAAAAATTAGGGGAAGAGGTTTTTCTTTTTTTTGGCTTGATTTGTGGCTTCGTGTCGAGCACCTTCAGCCAACTGAATGCAATGTTTATTGTCCGTAGACATCGAGGGATTTAGGCACATCTGTGCTCCAGGTTTTTCAAATCAGGAATTAATGCTGAGTAGAGTAATGCTCATTCAGTAATTTTTCATGGACCAGTAGATAGAATTTAAGCATTCTGATACGATAACAGGTTTGCCACAAAATTTAGAAAATAAAATTACCTGACAGTTCCCTGACACATCTAAGTAAAATTCCCTGACAATTGAAGATACGTCATATGATTAAAAAGACATAATTTAAAATAGTCTTTAGGCAAAATTGGTTGTTCAAAACGCTAGCTCCATTCTAAAGAGGAAATAAAGGTGAATCGACAATTTTTTCCGAACACTTTTATAATTTTCCTTGACAATTTCAAGTTCTTCCTGACTTTAAAAGTACCTGACATGTCCTGGTTTTCTTGGTATTCCCTGGCTGTGGCAACTCTGATATAAGGCCCGTTTTTGAGCCCACCCTGAATTTTCTCAACTCTTCGCGATTTTTTTGTTCATTGAAGGTCAACATTTTACTGAGTGCATCGTGATTTGGTCGTTTTTGGTCTCTTTTCGGGTCTACTACTGGAAACACGGGTCTAGAGGCTGATTTCGGCGAAAAATGAGAGTTTGGTGGCTTTGCAATCGAATGTCGAAAAATGGGGGTTTTCGCCAAAATCGGCCTTCAGACCCAAATTAGGGCCGGTATTAAACCCGAAAAGAGACCAAAAATAAAAACCAAATCATAATTCATTCCGTAAAATATGGAGTTCAATGAACAAAAAAAATGTAGAGCTGAGAAAATTTAGCTTGAATGGACCTTTTTTTCTAGAATGCTAGCCCACTCGCGAGTGCTTGTAAAATTAGTGACCTTACTTAGTTGGGTTTGGTTAGGTTAAGCAACTAAACTAACTTCCTGGCAAAGCGGAGAGTATCGCCGGGATCTGAAGGCGCTCCAAACCGTGATGGCGCTTTTCAACTTTTCAAGTTCTTTACCAAAGAAACCTTCACTATGCCGATGCGAATTATTGCAATTTAACAGAAGACACGCATGTCGCTTGCACATAGCGGCGTTTGCCGAGTGCCTGCAATGTGTACGGACGTATTTCTGCCAAACGGAACTAAGTGCAATATGACGTAAGCCCTGTTACGCATACATTCTTATTGCTCTCAGGGCTCATGTCTTAATGCACATAGTTCCGTTTGGCACAAATACGTCCATATATTTATTCATCTTCCGTTTGATTCTTCACATTCGAGTCAGCGCGAACCACCGAATTAAAAGTAACATGCTTTCGAAACTGAACCAGATGAAAATCCGAGGCTTACACCAATTCTTTAACAAATCCTTAATTTTTCGAGGTAATCCCCCCCCCCCCCCCCCCCNTAGTTCCTGATTTTTCAGGGCCTAGGCTCCGTAAACTTCGGCGGGCATGGGAAAACAGTTAAACAGAGATACTGATAGATACTGTTACTTACATACTGATTTAATCTTCAAGTTTCAAAAGGAAAACAGGGAACATGAATACATCGAATCGGAGATCCAGGATCTCGGGTGCATTTAAAATGAAGTGGAAAATTCGAAATGCTTCAGCCGCCTTAGAGCTCAGAATATGGGGAATTTGGCAGTTTTGGGGGGCAATAACACGGTCAAAAACCTTTCATGTGTACCGCATTTTACTTATCCGTTCTCTTTCAACATTTTTCGACAATCCGGCAACGTATAACGGGGAGCAGGATGCGGGAGGATGACGGAGCGAGGGGGGAGGGGGGAGGGTCGGATCCGGAAATCAGCATCTCCACCTACCGGACCTACCTCCTACCGGGGGTTCAGAATCCTCCTAGGCAAAATACTGCCAACCTTCGTAGTAACGATCTCTCAGACTTAAACCCATGCCCCCCCCCCCCCCCCCCCNCCAAACCATTTCATCAATGAGACGCGAATACGATGTGTTGGAGCGAATATACGTGGCGAAAATTCCCCTTCAGTTTCGTGCGATACCACCGTTTCGACGCTGGAGCTGTTTTTGCCTTTCCGGTAGAAATTCAGGCGAACGCCACGGTTACATGTGTGCGACGAATTAAGCCTTCTAATTTTGCCTTCATTGAAGCAAGTAGGCAAAAACTTATGCGCATACCAAGGATTTGTCGCCCTTCCTGAAATCGTTTACCAATTTGCAATTTGGTTTTTGCAAATAATTTTCTCAAGGGGGAAAAAAGGGGTATTTTTTCAAAGGTGTTTTAAAAATTTCATTATTTCATCCGATGTGCACAACAGATGCAGTAAGTAATTTACAGTAACTTTAAATGACTTAGCAAATTCTGCCATGTTTTAACTGAGGTTATTTCTAAAACTCTAGGTACAAAGTTAAAAGCAAAGCTCACAATTTGTAAAGACATTCGGTAGGGAAGCTAGGTCTTCTCCTGGTAGGTATGTTTGAAATATACTCGATTACATTTTGTTGGTTTTTTTAACAGTGAGTAAGTATCTTTACAAAGACACAAAAAAGTTACAAAAAAATCCAGTATTTTCCAGGATTTGCATGAGCCACCAGGAGACTATTTTTAGGAAATATTATGACATATCATTCACTGAAATGGACATGAAAATCTAAAAAGAATCAGAGAAATGACTGCCACAACTCTCAAAAGGTGGTGAATAACTCTCAAAGTACCACTGAACTTACAACCTTCCTGTCCAGAGAAAACATCTCTGTTTAATAAGTCTAGCTTTAGTCTGAGTAGCAATTTCAGCACATCCTGTGAGGTCAATAATTCTGTTGACAACTTAATTCTTTCCCACACGCTTTCTTTTGATGAGTCATCACGGATTGATGGTCAACGCGGGGAAATCCCATGCTATGACGGAACCTTGACTTGCGTGGTCAAGTTCCCGAGATGTCTTCACATCCAATCTTCTCTTATCCTTCTTACTTAAAGTATCTCTGCTCTCGCAGCTTCGGCTTGTGCCCTTAAGCACTTGTCACAATTTAGTGACTTCAATTGAGTCTCGTTACAGCTCTATTTACAATTAGGTAACTGCAAACGAGTCTTGTTAGGGCTCAAAACCTTTGACGGTGTAACGTAATACACAACTGGTTCAAGTGCTTCAAACTCACCTTGTTTTACACGTGTTAAGTGTTAAAATCAGAGGTAACACATAAGTTACATTCGACCGCGTAAATTACACACAAAACTACACCATCTCTCAGTACATGGGGCGCTAAAGTAATTCATCTCATCATCCTAAATTTCTTCATTCTTTCCAATCTCATTTCCTTTTCCATTTCTGCACTTCATTATTCCAAATTAATCATAGTAGAAAACCTCTGTAACCAAATCATCTGTAAGCCTTCTCAATTGTAACTTTAAGTAATTGTGTAATAATTGTAATACATCAATTCTGTCATTTCCTCAATATACATAGCCAAAAAACTTCAAACGTACTGAGTCTGACTCTTCATTTAATTTCCTTGATATCTTTACCTAGAATAAAGTAGGTAAGAAGGTGAAAGTTGCAAAATGTCTGAAACCATCTTAAATTTCTAATAAACTTCTCACAATAGTAAAAAGCAGCCCAAACATATTCTCACAATCCCTTTCTAACCATGGCAGTTTTCCGGAGTAAAAAAAAGAGAGAAAGATGCGATGGAAGAGTTCAAGGAAATCCACCTGGTCAAAAATATATGCATACTCCATCAGAACTTACCCTAAAGAACTAGCGTGCCGCTTTTGAACAGCATTACTTGGATTGATCCCTGAAAAAAAAAACAGATATTCAACATTCAACACTTAGTTGTACTTGCATAAACAATTGGTTTTGAACATTTCGGAAAGTAATGACTATTCTAAGATTGAATATGCATGAGATTATAAGTCAGTGTATTTAGATAGATTTATTGGTGGAGATTTTAATAATGGCACGTAATAATTTTATCAGACCAATTAGCCTAGAAGACCTAGATCGTCTAAGATCTTTTTTTTTTTTTTCCAAGTAGCCTATTGGCTAATCCCATATAACATGCAAATTATCTGGAAGAATCAAGATAACCAATCTTCTATGAGTCTAAAAGTGCATACACTTATTTAGCAAAGACTCTATCCTGTTACTGTCATGATTCATTCCATCCACTTAGAAGCTACATTGGTGATCAGTTCCTACGATGAGCATAAGTTGTTAGAGTCATATTTAATGAGATAACTCGTTACGTGCATTTGTTAATGATTGGGTTAAAACATTTAGAAATGACTTCCCTAGAAGTGGAGCTAAATCCTGGGTTTACCATCTGTTAACCTCAAATTGACGCAAGAGCCAAGAGATAATTAGAATTCAGAAACTACTGATACCGTTTCCTCGATAATCATACCTAGATAAACAAACTAATTATTTCCCATTCACTGCAAAAAAAATTGGTGCAATAACATCAGTGCAGAGAACTTTAACATTCTAGGCATTTAAAATGGTTGTGAAGGGTAGGCAGTCTAGTAGTGCAAGTACACACACAAACCAAATAGCAGTCGTGGCCAGTGATTTATTTGCCTTACTTATGGAACCATCAGGTTGGAAACATGTTACTGGACCCCTGAAACACGGCTTAGTCGAGGAAACTCGAGGGAAGGAGAGCATAAAGTAGTATTTAGAGGAACAAACCCTAAGTGGGTCCCCAACTTACCAAGGACAGAATGAGCTAATGCAGACATAAATGCACTAACACAAGAGGAAAAAGAATTCCCTGCTAACTATTATCCGTAACAAATCATCGTATACAATAAAGCAAAAACTATTTGATATGTATCAAAACACCACAATAATTTTAACAAATTTGACGAAATGTCAAAAAGTAGGAAACAAAATAACAAAACACAAAAAAGAAAACACACAGTTCTGTCAATTGCTTGAGTCAAAACTAGAGTACCTTATGTTCATTAGTCAAATCAGCAACTCACATGAATACTCCCTTTTGATTGAATTCTTCCTAGAGAAAACAAATTTCTACTCTTTTTGCTTTATATATGGCAAACGACCAATTCACGAGAAAAATTAATTTCTAACGAATGTTTGTAATTTTAAAAACAATGCACGTCTTTTGAGAAAGGCCGAAGTCCGTCACTTTGAGGAGCCTTCATCTTGTACGGTTGGCAACAATATCTACACGAGATACTCCGCACCAATTTTTCCGCACTCGGCGGTCTGCGCATTCCATTCCGTTCACTCTTTACGAGCCTTATCAGCGTTATCTCTTATCACTAAGGCCCCTGATATGGAGACTTTTAGAGAAAACCAAGAGCCAAGATTCCACTAATTTTGTTTCTGCAGAAATACCTTCCTAAAATTCTTTTGCACTACATCATTTTTCTTGACTTGCCCGTATTTTTATTTTAATTTTTTAAAAAAAATAAGAAAAGTAATTTAAATTAAAGAACTGTCAAACGCACAAATCCTGTCCAAAAACATGTTTGTAGATTTTGTGAGTCACATGTGAACTTCACCTGTGAACCATGAAATGTGAACTTACCTAATTGATGCTGATGGAAATCTGTAGATTATTCCCTCGGATGGCAAATCTTTTTCAAACTGGCAAACTCCAAGGAAAAAGAAAAAGAAAAAACTAATCACTCTCTCTTTCCTTCTAAGATTGTAAGCTGGGGTTTTTCCTTCAAAAAATTGTGAAATATGGATTCCCATCCGTGAAAGTGTAAAGCATAATAATCATTAATATTGTAAGCTATGAATGTTCTCAGTTCGCCTTCAATTTAGAAGTCAGCAATTGTCGTTCCACATATGTTAAACACGGCGATTTTGGCTTATTACATAGTCTTCTTTTTGAAAGCGGTTCAAGTGTGCAAGTAACGTAGTACCGTATTCTATTAAAATAAAAACGAAATAAAGCTGATACATATATTTCACAGGTCGCTATAATTGATTTAAGGTGAAACTTTCCGATTTTTCTCACTACTTTGCAGCATGCCTGGCCAGGTAGATCAACATCTTGGGTTGGTCTAGGACTAGGATAATCGTCCTGGCTTACAACTCAATAAAACATTCTGGTTTAGCACTTATACATAAGTCTAATAATGTCTAAGTCAGGATTTACTGTAGCTACAGTATAATCTACTTACCTATGGTTATACAACTGCCATTGACCATGAGCATTGAGCATGCACAGATGACGTGGTCTGAAGCAGAAACTGATCTGTTCAGGACTTACAGATTGAACTTAAGGATCACTCAGGATGGACAAAATCCAAGATTTTGAGAATCAGTGACTGAACTAAGAAAGTTGTAAGTACGCTGCCCCACATTTCTGCATTTCCGTCACAAAAATAAGAGAAAAACCAAATATTTAATAAACTCAATGAACTAACTCATCCTCAGACACTTTGAATGCTTTTGCTGAATTTTTAAAAAAATTTATGAATTTTTGCAGGTATTAGAAATAAAATAAATAATTATAATTGTTTTTGTACTTCTTGATTCCTTTGTAAGTATACAGGCAAAACTTAATGGAAAAATAAGGAGAGTAAATGGCTCATGCTTTGAGTATATTATTTTTCTTTCAAGTAGTACTTAAGGAGTTATACTATTTTTTGTTTGAAGCTTATAAATCTACATAGACGAGCAACTTTCTGCCCTGTAGGAAAGCTGAAATCAGATTAATGGTGGGAAGGTAATTCTTGAAAATCTACCAGTTTTTATTTGAAGCAGTTAAGTATAATCTGAATGGATGGGTCCTAATTTAGAAAAAGGATCACTTGGGCCTTGGAGAAAGGTGGTTTTACTTTATTAATAGTGGGAGTTAAAAGAGGAAGAACATGTCAATGCATCCTCGCGCACTGCTGCAACTGTGGAGCCCGCCATTGTTACCCTTTTTCTCAAGGATGTTCAAGCCAGTAAAGAGGCAGAAGGCCAAAAGCAAGGTTCTACATAAAGGATCCTCGCATTGTACTTGGAGGGAGAGGGTTGTGCTCCAAGGGTGGTAGCTAACAGCATCAAGTGCTGGTGTAAGGAACCGACTGTCCTCTTGCATGAGCCTTCCAGATGATTGACTCCGATAATTTTTTAATGAAAAATTTCTGCAGCGCAAAAGTATTATCTACATAATTTGGGTCAGAAGTGCATTTCAATACTTGTAGGGTTACTATTTTTTCTGACTTGACCCTGAGTGACATTGATGGTTGAAAAAAGTTGAAAGACTTAGGAATTTCAAAGAGAAATACTAGATGTTAAAGTATATAAATAGGAAATCTTTTTCAGTTGAAATTTCGTTTTTCCAAGTGTGAAATGTCACCTACCACCTTACATTTTCTTCACTTTGTTTCAACAGATTTGAACTGTATTTTTTCCCCAATTTTTATTTTTATTTTTGTTTCTGGGCATAAATTATATGTACATTTTACCAATATGTATGTCCCAAAAGGGTTTTCTAATTAAAACATTTCAACGGTTTTTCTTAGATTTTTTGTTTGTTTTCAAATCAAAATTTAAGAGTAATCTCTTTTTGATAAAGTTTACATAGGACAGTTGATTTCTGAACATACTCACACACTGCATACCTCCTATCATCTATGTACCAACATGTGTTCAGTTGGAATAAAAAAATTCTGCTTAGATATAAGTGGGACCTCTTAATAATTTAACTTCCCTTTCAATTTTATGCATATGTATATGTTCCCATTACAAATTGCTGAAAAATAAGGAAAATGCAGACTCTTTCAAGGCTCTGAAAAATTTAGAGGATATCTCCAAAAAGAAGAAGGAGCAGTGGATGGAAACTAGCTATAAAACTAGGTTAGAGATATTATTGCACTTGTCCATGATCAGGACCGCTGCTAATGATTGCTTTTCTCCCGATTCATAAATCGTAATTTGAAGTCATGCATTTGTTTTATTTACCTATTAATTGGGTAAAGGTTTAAAGTTGAACAGGAATTTTTCACTGCTTTGCATTTTCAGGGAAAAAAGTTGACTTGAAACTTCTCTGAAAAATTTTTAGGAAAAAGAAAAAAATTGACCTACTTTATTGATTTAAATTTTGTTATGACAACATACACTTATAAGTACGTACCATTTAATCAGCGGAAATAAATAAATAATAATAAAAAAAGGAGAAAATGAATTTATACACTTATTTTGGACTATACAAAATATTTGATCAAAATAAATAACCTAAACTGAATAAATAAAAGGTGTAGTAAATAAAATAATGATGATAGCAGTAACTTTAACAATTTACACGGAGGAAAAACAAAAACAGAATTAAATTAGAGTATGTTACAAACTGAACGCTAAGGGCATATCTTCAATTTTAAAATCACAATGACGTTTAAAAAAGTAATCGTATTGGCCAAAAACTAACTTTGTGCATGTTTAAAATACGAGAAATACCATACTTGAGAGATAATATTTTCTGAAGGTAATGCTTCAACTAATTCTGAGACTACTGTAATCTAATTCTTCCTCAAATAAACATTCGTACGATCAAAGGCAAGCAACGTGAAAATCAACGAGAAAAAAAAATTACAAAGTGATCTAATTGCAAGTTATTCCAACTTCATCAAGTCGAGTACACAATAGCATTGAATCACATTTTAAAAATCAGGTTCCAATGTTCTGACCAGAATTACTTGGACGTTTAGCCTGACATTATTTTGTCATGGATAGAAAGGGCAGCCTTTCGGTTCAACTGCCGCCGAAAATGAAAATGCTTAACCCTTAACCCAAGAGAAGAAAACATGGAAATGTAAAAAGTCCAGGATTCCACCATGAATTGAGTAAAGTTCATGACATTTTTCTTCAAAAATCAGAGGATTTGAGGATTCATTTTATTTGCGAAAAAGAAAATTTGACGAAGATACAGGATTTTATAATTTTCAATTCAATTGAGATTTTTAGCAAGAAAAGTTTTAATAAGAGCGTTCATGAGTCTTAATACTTGAGGTATGTAAAAAGAATACAATTTTGATGGCATGGAGATAAAATTTTTTGCTGAGTTTGCAATGAAAATATTCGAAGCCAAAAATGTATATCTTCACTTTGAATAAAAGCAAGTACATATAACACATAAGGGACATGAAAGGAAGAGTAAAGACTTACAAAGGCTTCCATGATTAGAAAAAGAAACTATTTTTTAACATCATACTTTCTTCGTTTCAAAATGAAATTGTCATGAGGAATTCACGAGCAACCAGACTGTCAAAATTTACAATTGAAAGATCAGGCATACAAAAAATTAATACTCCTTTATCATCATTAAAACGAAATTAGCTTCAAAATCAAAATAAAAACTTGCAGTTCCTTGCTTTTGAGTTAATCACTTCATTTTTTCATGAGAGAGAGAAGTGTTTAACTTTATTATTCTGTAAAATTGATGCCTATCTTCTGGAATGACAGTTAAAAAGCTGAGAAAACCCCATTAAAAAGTAAACTTTACTCATTGATGGTGTGACGATAGTGAAACTAATCATGTTACATAATTACATATGTACTATTTGTGAGAGGATGGATACCAAAACAATCAAGTTGAAACAACTGTTTCCAAGTTCTGTAGACTAAAAAAAAATAAAGTCAAAGGAATGTTCCGTTACAAATGAAATGTAGAAGATGAAATTCATGAAAAAGAGATAATTTAAAACAAAAACAAAGATGCGTACAGTCTGGGACTCAAAAGGAATTACAAAAATGTGTGAAAAGATTTCATTTATCATCTTGAAATTTTAAAACTAAGGGTTTTGATGAAGGGTTAAGGGTTGGAGATAACGACATCTTATGGATAAGTATGGATAAAATTATAATAATCGTTATCGTAGTTCCTGTAAGTAATAGCAAATAGTTAACACTAGTAACAATTTATAGAAAAAATTATTTTAAAAAAAAAATGAATGGACCTCTCGAAAGATTTTGGTATTGAGAGAGAAGATGAAAATACATTCAATTCAAAGATGTCGGGAACGTTTCAGTTATAGATTACCCATTTATTTATTGGACATTTGCTTCAGCAAGACTTGCTTTTGCAGATATTTCTGCTTTTCAGGGTGGAGACAAAGTAGATCGCTGTTAGCATTTCCTTTGAGAGTAAATTTGTATTTAAATTAAATTATCAATAGGATAACCTTGACCTTGGTTGATTCATTTTTCCTGAAAAATATTTTTGGGAAACACTCCAGATCTTTAAACTCAAATGTTCTAGAATTTCCACTTTCATTTCTTCCTTTCCAGAAAAAAGCTTGCACCGTACAACTTGGCTGCTAAAATTTTCATGTATTTTATTTCAAGCCTGAATATAAAAATTGATGGGAAATTCGCCGAATGCAAAATGAGAAACATTTAAAAATTACACGATAAATAATTGAAAAACATCACAATTTGAAGTACTTTCTTTTATTTTTTCAGAGCTTGGTCATCCAATTTCTGCCTTCAAAATTTTGGCTTGGTTCCTTTCATCGACAGACATCTCCAAACTACAATATTGTGCAATCTTCCAAACTACTGATTCATTCCACTTAGAAATTACCTATGTTCCTGAGAGGATTTAGTCACAAGCAATTCCAAAAGCCTAAAATAGTCTCTACATGATGATGAAAATAAAATAGGTAACAACTTGGAGGTCTGAGAAACCTAGACCTATTTTCAAACGGATGATATCTACAGATAAAATGCAGATACAAGTTCGGCGGACTGGGTTTTGAAATATGTCACTATGTATTCATTTCCCAGCATAAAGTCCCAAATCTTCATTTGAGGAATTTAATGGTTTGAAAAGACTTTGGGAGAGTATATGTAATAAAAATTAATATTTAATTTTTAAAACTTTCATTACCAAAAAAGAGGTAGGTATTTAGAACGAAAGAGCTTGGGACAAATAACTACAGAGTTTTAAAAAAATAAAGAAAGAAAGAAAAAAAATTGGCTTCAAAAGATCTGCTTCGAAGATAGAAAACAGTAGAATTGACATCAGAAATCTTAACCTTTGGAAATAAAACAGGCACTAAAACCAAATAATGTAATTTTGAAAATCATCATATTTGAAGGGTGCCACCTTAATTTAGTACAGTATGCGTGTAAAAACATTTGTCTTTATCAAAAAACCCGTGGAAACGAAGCCTCTATTCGAACTTTCTTAAAAAGAAACTGGTTCCCGAGGTAACATAACTGAAAGTAAAATCAATGGCTAAACTCTGAAAACAAGGAACTAAACATATGTACCAAAAAGCTTGCATCTTGAAATGTCACATATTTCTTTCAATGGTTAAAAGAAAAAGAACCAATTTTATTGCTTGAAATTTTCTGAGAGTACTTATCACACAGCAAGGAAAAAACAGGGAATAGTGTGGAATAATTTTAAATTTAAAAAATAAAACATAACGGGGTGTTTGCAACTTCTTAAATTAAGTTACGAGTTTTCAAAAAGATGGCCATTGAAAAGAGGAATTTCTAGAATATTTTTAGGGTTCATTTTCCATGGCGTACCCTGATTCTTCTGCAGTCTAAAAGACTCTGTTCTGCTTAACAAACATTTGTAACAAAATTTATTGCTTCGAATTGGAATTAGATCATACAAGCTGTGAAACTTGAGATGATAATTTCAGATTGGTATTTATTTAAATTAATTAATTGGACTAAAGTTGGAACGAGGACAGTGACAGAGGACTGCATAATTGCATTAATGTGAACGTTAGTTGCTCCTTGAACTATTGCCAAGGGGAAATTATGCTATGTAAATAAATAAAGAGGTAAAAAAAGAGGAGCGAGAACTTAGTTTAAGATTATTCTATTTACAAAATAATTCTAGTTAGGAAAAATGGAAAACTATAGCTCGAGTAAAAATTCCTCGTTTCACTGGAAAAGGATCGAGGAAAAAAACGAAAAGAAATCATTGATGTGCAGAAATATCTGGCCAAGTCAGTCTCGGATTCATTGAACACATTTACGAAGAAAGCATTTTTTAAGTGCAAACTGAAACAAACAAAACAAATTTCATTACAAATCAGCATGAGCACCTTTCACTAACGATCATACAATTGGAGAGAAATATATAGAGATTTTAAAGCAGTAGAGACTACTTTTGTCTGACTTAAAAACGTTAAAAGACAATACAGAGCCATTCAAAAATTTATTCGGTGACTTTTTTTCAAGGTTTTTTTTTCCCTTTTATCATTCTTTCTTTCTGTATTTATTCTTTTTTAAAATTTCTTGGGTTGAGACTCCAGCAAAATTTTGAGACACTTCAAGCAAATTTACCTCACTCATTGTCAAACAGGAGGCTGCAGAAAGTTTTCAAAATTTATAGTACAAATTTGATGCATTCCCACTGAAAATTCTCATAATTCTTAGGAAATTAATGTTTGATGAAGTTATTTATTGCGAAAAATGCAGACCTTTTCCTCTCTCTCCTAAGCCCCCAGAGGTACTGAGAGTTCTTTCCTTTCAAAGTTTTAGAGATAGCCTTCAATTTTCTGTCTACATAAGACTGCGCACTTTGCTATTCTCTTCTCACAGAGGAGCGCGTTTTACAATTATCTTTCCAGAAAAACAGCATATCACAGTTTTCTTTGCCAAAAGTAACAAGCTTAGTAGTTTTTTTCTGAAAAAAATGAACTCGTTTCATGATTTCCTTCACAAAAAGGCGTCCACTTTTTATCATTTTTGGAGGTGCCGCATTTCTCCTGCTATTAGTCAATAGAAAACTTTCTGCACCCCTGAAAATCCTCTCGATGTTGAGTGTGTAACATTGGCAAATCCAGCAAGTTGGCAACATTGTTTTCTCTCCATAAAGACCTATACTATAGGAATACAGAGATTCTCCACTTTTCAGAAAGGTCAGGCACTCCGATAAGAATTGATCATTCAATACAGGTTTAAATAGAGAGAAGCCAGCATCACCAACCCGCGGGATCCTCTTCTGGCGTGTTAAGTATTTACAAACATTTCTTGTAAATTCACAGAGAAGAACTTGACTTTTCCATGTGAAAGCTTGATACTATCATGGTCTCCCATATTTTAAGAGTCACTTTCTTTGTTTGGTTTTTTTTTGTTTTTTTTTTCATTAAATGCAGGCCCTAGACATTCAATTTTTCACCCTTAAGTCTTTACGTCTTTTGACTAGTCTCCAAGGTACCAAAAAAATTTCCAGTTGATACACGTACACTTTATTTTAATCTGCAAAATGCATCTGAATGGAAATAAAGATCTAAAAATTCTAATCCCAACGTACTATGACTGAGATGCATTTGCTAGCACAGTATCAAAGATGAGAGACCCTTCACTAGTATCATGGCAATGGTGGACGCTTTTACTTTCGGGACTTCAACATTCAACTGTTGACCTACCTACTTAGTTGATGGTAAACAACGTGTTGGCAGGTTTGTTTTGTAAAACAAACCAAAGTTCGGAAAATTTGTTTGACTCATGACGTCACTCGAAGCTCATCATCCACCATGTAGGTAGGTCAACAGCTGAGAAAAAAATGATGACTATTGCTCCCTTATAATTATCTTTAAGGAGGTGTTGAATCTCCGAAAGTAAAAGCTTCCACCTGTCGCCAAGAGGCCACTGGAGGGTCTCGTATCTCTGCGTAGTACAAATATGCAGGAGAAATGCAAGGAGAATGACCGGGGGAAAAATTAATGAATGACCAAAAAAAAATTACCTGTTAATGTTAATCAATGACTAAACATGAGTATATTACAGGCAGGGAGTATACTGAAAACAACTTCTCAAATTTTATGATTGCTTGTGAGCCACGTCAGTCCTTCGTAGAGGCCGTCTCCCGTCGTTGCACAAGATGGCTGCACGTACCAGTTTCGATCTCGCATTCTAGTTAATCCTAATTTTTCTTGAATTTCGTGAGGCTTCATTGCTGAAATATTCATCATAGAAAGGGCAATTAGATTTCATCATACTTCAATCACAAGAAAAATTAGGTTAAAATGATACAAATAATTTGTGACAAAAAGGAATTGATTTGATGGTTCACTGATCAGTTGATTCAACCTTTTTAAATTAAAAGTAAAGAAATAAAAACAAAAATAAGTAAATAAAAATCCCTTCATCTTGTAGAATGTGTCCACAGATTAGGTAGTACAATCCACACTTTAATCGAAATAGTTGGGTGTAACTTCAAACATACAAATTGTCTTGATGCATAAAATGAAACATTTTAGCAATTGATCAACTTTTAATTTAAGTTCGAACTACTTGAGGATCACATTGTTTATATTCACAAGCTCAGAAATATGACAAAATTATTCAAGTTGAAGGGTATAAAAAAATATTTTAAAATTTGAAATCTTGAAATCTTGAGTATTCTAGAGAAACAAAATGGTGACGAAATGCTGAGCTAGAATGCTAAGAGTGGTTCAAGAAAATAAGAGAGAAAATCTGATAAAAACAAAACGATAGGAAAAGACATCAAATAGAAAAAAGGAGCTTTTTCTTCCTTACTTATGGAACTTAGAGAAAATTTCAGTGTTAAGGAGAGGGTGGAAAACTTTAAAATATCCCTCAGACACCAATGATCTTAAGAGATTTACAGTAACATGCATCTGCTTTTAATAGTTCTTGTTGCTAATAATCATTCGACAAATAACTAATGTTGGATTTTCTGATACTCTAGAGAACAATGTGTCAAAATATGAGGCCATCGTTTGCCTTCTCTTTATCTTTATCAGTATTTCATATGAATAGTTTCTTAGGCAGGCAATAATTTAAGTACTTGACTGCATTTTTCTCAGATTTACGATGTAGTGTTCTCTGACTTATAAACACTGCCTTAGCGTAATTTATTGGAATTTATGGGTGCTTTTTTGCACCAAGTTATGCAGAATCAACCCCTCACAACTGTGTTATTTTATTTTCTATTTTCATCACCTTTAGGCCAAAAATTTAACAAAGGATGAAGTATAGGGAGAGATCAAACGGTGTAATCTGCCTGATGATTTGTGGGAGGATCCATTCCGATGGCAATTTGGAGTTGCAGAGCGCTCTAGTGCGCTGAGGTAGCGGCTTGATATGTATGTATGAAGTATAGAACTATTAACAACAACAGCTAGAAAAAGAAAAGCTTGCAAAAAGCGGAAGAGTGTACTGACCATTTGGTAAGTCTTGTTTGTTGGCGAAAATGAGGATAATTGCATCCCTCATTTCTCGGTCGTTAATAATCCTATGCAATTCTTGTCGTGCTTCATCTATTCTATCTCTATCGGCACAGTCTACGACAAATATTAATCCGTGCGTTCCTGTATAGTAATGCCGCCAAAGGGGCCTTATCTTGTCTTGTCCACCGACGTCCTGTTGGCACAAGGTCAATTGAATTAGTTAAGGATTAACATAAAAAAATGCTACTAGATCACAACTGGAGTCTCTAATTAACATACACTGAAAAGACTTGGGAAAAAAAATACAAAAAAAAAATAAAGTAAAAAAAAGGGTAGGAGATTGTGTTTATCAAAAAAATGTTGTACTTTTGACTTTATCATTTTTGTCTCTTCAAGGTCTTGCTATTTTTCCAATTTTTAAAGATCTACAAAATTGTTGGTAAGTTTCGTTTGTGGTCTAAGAGTATTTCAAGGACTTAACCAAAAGTATATTGATGGTCAAAGAGCAAGACCATGTATCTCCGTTTGCAACATCGTAGACTTCCTATCATGCTTTATTTTTCCTTTGAAAAACTAGTTAAAAATATCTTATTGAAAATTTACTTGACTTTCCTTCTCTGTTAGAGGAATATTCAGTACATATTTCAAGCTATGCAATTGGTTTGATTTTCTTCCAAGAAATGAAAAAGGAGCAGAAATTTTTAGACATTGGAATGGAGATATGCTGTTCTTTACTTTGGGCGTCAATATCTAAATATTTCATCAATTCGAGGAATGTCAAAAATTGTAATCTTATACTTTCATCCAAATTTTTAAACCTAGCAGCCTTGGAATTAGATGAGAAGAGGAGATTTTTTGGTATCTGGCAAGATGGTGAAAAATACATTAGAAAAATATTCAATTGATGAAAATTACGACAGCAAGTCGGACTTTTTACAGCTGGATAGGTTAGAAATAAGAGAGACAATTCAGCTCAGGTACAGCTTAAAACCAGGTACGGCTTAAAACCAGGTACTACCGCTTAAATGCACGTTCTTTTATTGTGAATTAAAGAGGCCGCTTTGACTGTAGTCTGAACGAGTAAAGCCTGCTTACAGCTTAGTGCACTAGAATTTTTTCTCATCAAATCACCAAATAATAACTACCCTGCTTGAATTTTTCAATTTTACAGAGTAAGCAATGTTTAAATAATTTCAAGTTACCTACCTAAAAAAAGCAAGGTTATTATGGAAGAGAAAAACAGGAGGAAATACTTACCCATACATTAAATTTAACATTTTTATAAGTCACTGTCTCGACATTGAATCCTACTGTGGGTATTGTGTTGACGGATTGCCCAACTTTCAATCTATACAAAATTGCTGGAGAAACATTGTTAAGGAAAACAGATAACTTTCAACAACAAAAAATTCAAGACTGAGATAAAATACAAACGAAAGACAAGTTGGAAAATCTTAAAATTTACTAGCAATAAATGAAGGCAAAAGATGAAAGATGAAGCAGAAAATGTCAGAAATTAGAATCTTAAAGATAAACGAATTAAAATGACTAAAATAACTTGACAGATATAAAATATAAAGCCTGCCTTCCAATAAGCGTTAGTAAAAAGATCTCTAAAAATATGCCCCTCCTTACAGATGGAGAATTTCTTGCCAAGAGAATAGTTTTCATTGATACCACCGGTTTTTAGAAACTGGCTATTCTCTATTTATTATTTGTAATTAACGTCAACTTTTAACCTGCTTCAGTCAGAAATCAATCCAGTAAATCTCTGTTCATCTTTGATGCTCAACTTAAGCTTTAGCATATAATTCCATAATTGAACCAGGTTTGGCAGACAGAAACCGATTACTATCAAGTTGAGTCTTAGACAGCGGTTTGAAGTCCTCTTCCTCTCCGAGACTTAGTGTGGGAATACATTTTAACACTTAATTTAGTACACAAAATATTTCATCTTGACTTTGAATTTTCGATAAGAAAAATTGATGACTAGGTATTCAAGCTCAAAACTAGTCTAAATTTAATTATTTTCAAAAGGTGGGTTTAGTCCTTTCCAATCTAGTACTTTCTAAAGGGTGGTTCGAGTCCTTTCCAAAAAACTTGGTACGATTGGTGTATCTGTATTTAATTCCAAATCTATCTCCAAAAATGTTAAACCATTAGGTGCTCAACAGGTGGCTCTAAAAAGGGCCGTTCAATAGGCATGCTAACTAGCAGTGATAATTTTCGCTAAACTTGAGACTTGTCTCGGCTTTGAGCACAGAGTCAGCATCTACGGTCAGTGCAGCATGTGAGCAGGTGCACGCGTAACCACAGGCAGATGTGATTCTCTAGTGACAATAGTGCAATAAAATTCAATAAAATAATTGCAATAAAATAGTGTGAGAAAATTCATTCAAGAGGCTTAAAAGGATGATGAATTTGAGGTTTAAAATCAAAAGTATTACTGTGTATTGATTGATACTAACCATCAGTCTGATTCTGTGACTCAATGGAAACGAAGCAGTCCTATTGATAAGTCACCTAATTACTCACATGGAATCATGAGAGAGGAGCGTTACTTTGTCAATCGCCCCCTTATTCACTGGCAAAATTATGCTCCCCTCCAGGTAATGTACATGACAAAATTCTTAACTCGTCAATTGAATTGCTTCATTGGCAGCAATTCAAAGAATCAAGCTGCGGAATTAATTCCTTCATACTTATGTCAGTAGTCTGTCCAACTATGCTTGATCTTGGGTTAGTTTCTAGAATTTTTAGCAAAAGCGTGCTTATTTCATCAGGCACAATTTTTACCAAGAGAAAAGGCTGCCTTGCGCTCCAATGAAGCAATTGCAATCGTGAGCCCTATTATATAAGTGCAACATTTGTATGCTAGTATTTGGTGACAGCAGACAGCGAACCGGTGAGATAAGATTGTGAGTTCTGTCTTATTTACTTTCATATTCTTTCAAAGCTGGAGAAGTATTTGACAGATATTAAATTCCATTTTCACTGAACATAATGGACATTAATGATTACATCAAATCCTGTATTGCTAATTAGTCACTTCAATTATTGTTCTTTGTTAACTTGCCAGGGCAAATTGGGCATTATGTAATGCAATGAATTCATAAGATTATCCATTCATCTGTCCATTATTTTAATTGTCTTTTTTTTATTCTCATTTATTTTTATTTAAATATACTCAACCCTTCTCCTCATTTAAACTTAATGGCATTTTCATTATGATTGAAATTATTTCAACGCCCAACTAATGAATCAAACAATCACGCAACTCACTTGTACTAGGTCAGAGTAAAAAACAAGAGAAATTAACGGTGGAACTTTGAAATAAAAATAATAAAAACTCTTTTGCACCTCAACTCAATATTACAGCAGACACATTTTGGGCTCCGGCCCATTGTTCCACTCAGAATAATTGAACTAATCCACCAGCTATTTAATCTACCGAATAACTATTTAACGTGCTAAGGAGTTTCTACTATTTTTATTTTAAATATTCACATTCAACTCATTTGTGAGTCGATAGTATGAACACAAATATTAAGTCCATCGAACTTCTTATTACTTTGATTTCACCCATGATTTACTTTCCGTACAATTTATTTTACTTAGTCATTTTCTTAGGTTTCACCACCGCTCGTATCGGAATTTGTTTTAAAATGGAAACAGTTGCTTTCATACGCATAGAAAAAGCGCATGAGGGACACCAACATGACTAGACAAAAAAAATAACACAATAAAATTTAAAAAATTTAAAATTTTCTGAAAAGAGGCGGCTGGACGCTTCAGCACCCCTACTTTAAGCTTTCGGTTTTAATGACCTTTAAGAGGCTTTATAATAATTAATGGAAAATCTTCATTGATGGTGGTTGCATCCGTTTCGAAGGTTACAGGAGTTTTATGTCTCAGCTAGATTAACAGCCAAAATAAGAACAGGTTCCTTGAAACGAGACGTCATTCATCTCAATTTGTCTCCGTTCTTAGACCTGTAAAAACCTATATGGTGATGAATGAGAGTGGAGATAAAACGACAATAACTTTGCCATCATAAAAAGTATAATTCACATACATACTAAAAAGTAAGTAAATACATCGAGTTTTTTCTTGCTCCTTGGGAGTGAGAAGCTGGAGGTAAAAGTACTCTATTGTAACTCATTTAGCAAAGGAGCACTGAATAATTAAAGGGAAACATGGAAGTCAAGCATTTGAAAAAAGAAGAGCAAATTAAACTGAAGAAAAAAGAGAGAAGAGATAAATATTTGAGACTGGCTACAAAATATGAAGTTTGTGAAGGATACTTGTTTTGCCGGCTGCATCAAGACCTAACATGAGTATTCTCATTTCCTTGTTCCCGAATATTTTTGACAATAGCTTGCCCATCTTACTGTTCTTCTGTGGAAAGAATAACAATTAACATAGAGATTAATAAAACGTTGTAAATTACTAGCTTAAAAAAGGTCATAGGGCCAGGAGCACCAAAAAAATGCGATTACCTACTACAAAATTGAATCGGTCAGTTACAAAAGGGCTCAAGCGTTAAAAATAGGAATTCAAGAAAAATGGTGATAACCGTTTTAATTGACCTCTTATAAATCTCAGAGCTCTAAAATATTAGAGCGATGAATTAATTAATCACATTATCAATTAATCTGCAATTTAAAACGTGTCGGTTCATACAGTTTCTACTGTTTTTTCCATACTTTGATATCTGGCGCTTGAGCCCTTTTGTAACTGACCGATTCAATTGTGTTTTAAAAAAAACACATGCAGCGCCTGATGATCAGTTCCCGCATGAAACCACTGTAATTCACCTTACTTTATCTTTCGGTGAAAAAATTCTAGGGCATAAAATTTTCAATCAAAAAACAATTGGACATAAATAATCTCACATATTCCATTTGGAAATTGAAATTGGAGTATGCCAAAAATGGTACTTACTGCTTTTTCTATGATACAAGCACTCTGAAAGCTTCGTTTGGGGCACTTAAATGCAGAAATTTTTAAGACTATACTGAGAGCGGATAAAATTAAGGAGAAGAATGAGATGCCATTATCATGAAGACCAAACGAAAAAAAATAATGACTTAAACCCAATGAAAAATTTTACTTAGGCAAAGGAAACTGTTTTTCCAATTTAGAAAACACCAAGGAAGAGAATGTACCTACCCTAGAAAAAGCAGAATGCTAAGGTAATGGAAGGCATAGATATCAGGCGGTTGAGGGTATGTTGCTAAATCCTTCATTTAGCATTTGCAATCACACACTCCCATGGCTGCATTAATGACTGCTTTTATTCTTGAATCATCTGCAGGATATAAGCTCACAATGTCCTCGATCTATTCCTGTAACATAAACAAAAAGCAAAGGAAAAATCAGTTCCGTTGAATTTAATACTACACTAGATGCTCTTATGGTTATCAGTTGTATTCAGTTTTGAAAAATGAGAAGTAGACACAGGATGCTGGGACAAAGCTAGTTCTTTTGGTGCATAGAGAGAAAATTTCACGAGAGCGATATTTGTAAAGTTGGATCAAACCGTCGTCAAAGTATTCAAAAGGATAAATTGCACATATCAACGTTTCTTTTACGAAAGAACGTAGCTAAATTTCAATGTTGACGAATTTCCTCTTGCAAATTGCAGTTTAAGGTACCAGAAAAATATTGGACTAGTCTAACTAAAAATTTCGCTGATTTTGCTCCTGATTTCAAACAAAAATCAGACAAATTTTGGACAAAAATTGCACAGATACATTTTTGTAAAAAATTGAGTAGTTTCGGTCAATTTTGGAATCTAGGGATGAAGGTATTACATTCCTCCTTCTAAGAAACGAGAGTAGAGAATATGGTAGAGTGAAAACGTTTTTTCAAAACATGTTTTCTAAGCCACGAACTTGAAACGGTTATCGATTATAGGTCGAGCTCCGGAACTGTCTGAAGAGCTACAAACAAAAGATAGAAAGGACAAATTACAGAGATGAAGGACCGCAAGGCAGACAATCCCAAGAAAAAAGAATTGAAATCCATCCCTTGAATTATTTAAACAATTCCTTGGAGGAAGGAACAGATTCAAAGGGAGGAAATTAAGCTAGCTGCAACTGCGGGTGTCTCATCAATGATTCAAGGCGCAAAATAGCGGGGATCCGTTCGGAACGGCTCACAGCTCACATACGTGTGTTAATGGTCGAGTTACATAAACTTGTGTGTAGGAGAAATACTCGGTTACGTTGAGCCAGATCTCCAGATCAACGCTGCCACGCTAAGGAAGAACGCCGTATGAACGTTCGAGAGTTGCCAAATTTCCTTCGATAAAATGTTTATTTTTGAGGAAAATTATGAATATTTTTCGTTGAAATTTTTGGACGTTTTAGATCAAATTACTAACAAAATTAACTGAGAAATTGGTAGAAAAATATTCAAAAAAATTCCTGAAAATAAGTGATTTGCCGGAGGAAATTAGGCGACGCCCGAAGGCTCATACGGCGTCCTTCCTTAGCACGGTAGAACGATCATGGTCCCTTCGATTCCTCCAGTTGAGTGCATGGGCGGACAAGATTTCAGCAAGTTCACGCTCATCGCCAACATACCAACAGTTAATTGCAGTGGCTGAAAGGACTTACAAGAACTGGGACGACTAGCGTGCCAAAATGAGAATTAAAAAAAAAAAAAAAAAAAAAAAAAAAAAAAAAACCGAAAAATAGAGCTTTACGGAATTATACGTGTCCACACGACCACGAATCAGAGACCAGCGAATAATCTCAAAATTTTTATCGGAATCGCAACACGCGCGATGGCCAAAACAAAAATTCCTACGAAATACAACCAACGTTTCCTGGTGACCGAATCCATCATGCCTCAGGTAAAATACTTAGATAGAGACTTGATACTTAGATACTTAGAAATAGATTGGCAAAGAGTCAGTTGAGGGTTGCCTCGTAAGCGTTATCCCAATATTTTTGTAACTTGAAACTCAGTCATTTCAAAAAAAAAAAAACAGATTAAAAAATTGACGTATCTTGGGTTGATTTTTGCACGACACTTGGAGAGAGGAAAGATATCTCTTATATTATGTTTTGTAATATTATTCCGAAACATAAAATCAGCCAGAGATTTTGCGCCGTTGTGAGTTGTACCTTAAACCATTTTTTGGTATCACATTCGCATTTTTAGTGCAATCGCGGAGGTTTAAATTGGATTTTAAAGACATGAATGACATGAGTTTTGATAATAATATATTAGATGAACGACGAAAAATTGTCACTGAAAAAACCATCAACATGGGTAAAGAGGAAGAAAAATACTGGAAGAGAGAAACAAAGAGAAATCAACGATCGAAACCCGTTCCGAGTATAAATCATTGATGGGAGAAGTTCAATGTTTCTTCGAAGAGCGACGAATGAAATATTCCTGTGTGGGTGCATCGGTCGGGTCGTCAAACAGTGAGAAGTGCCAATCAACCCATAAACAAGGTAATTAATTGGCGTAATTACATATGCGCCGCGGCCGCTGCAACAGCTATGCGATAAGGAGCCAATTCGCTCACGGGGACATCCGTCAAGTTTAGACTACCCGCCGAGCAGCTCCAAATCACGTGCGCCTTTACCTCTCAAAATTAAAACCCTTTAAAAGCTTTAGAGCTACAAACACTTTAAAACATCTATTTTAGGCCCAGCCAAGTTTTCTTTGCACATTATTTAAGAGGGAAAGGTTGCAGATTTTCAACTATCGTAAATTTTATTTAACTTGTGGACTATGCCTATCAAGGACAAATTGACCTGAAGCTATCATTTTACGTCAATCATACACACACTGTATGAAAAAAAAAAGCCGAAAAAACTACCAATAATCCGGAGTGTTATTCGAATTTAGAAAAGGAACTAGGGGCCTGTGGCCGCTACGCGGCCGCCAACCACTGAAAAAGAAGCTACACGTAAAAAATAGCAGAACAACCATGTTCAAGTTATTTCAGAGATGAATGGATTCAAAGGCCGACGGGTGAACGCGAATGAAAGCGTATTTATCTCTGATTCCAACGGTATGCACCACTTTTTATGTTTTTTTTCGATCACGGTTTTTAAAAAGCTACACACACTTTTTCTGAAGAGTTTCCTTGCAGTTTCCTAAATGATCTCAAATCAAAGCGTCGAAAATTTCGACGTGATATTTTCGTTCGTTCTGTTTTCTTTGTGTTAAACCAAAATTAATTCTACGCGAATCAAGTTTCAGAATCCCTGCACCACTTAAACATCGTCCGAGTTCTGAATCGTTGCAATTAAGATACATATTTGCCTTTAATTGTGGTACAAAGCGGCAGGGGCCGTCCAAAGAAGGACGCGTGGTCCTAGTTTTGCGGCAATTTTAGCGTTGCGCAAGCCAGGGAACTGAGCGCGGAGCGCGGTCGAGTGTCGAGTCATTTGGCGCAATGCGTGAAGTATTCCAGTAGTCTTGCAGGCGCTGATATAAGTTTGACGACTACCGCACCGTCTTTGGCGCTTCGAACTCGCGTTTAGGATAATAAATAACGAAAAATCGCGCACCTCCCGACGGGACCAACGGGACAACCGTTTTTGCCGAGGGGGCGAGGGGGGCCGGGCACGCCGGCCGATCCCTATATTTTTCCCGCCGTCGGGGGACCGGGACCGTCGAGCCGGTACCACCCGCGCACGGATCGGCCCGGCGGTTCGCGCTGAATTTTGACGCAAAGAAAAGGCTTACGGAATTATATATGGTGATGATTGGTAACTTTTCCAACCTTCTGCTGCGGTAAGTAAAGCATTCGGGTATAAAAAATAGGCTAAAAAGCAAATTATACCTCAAAAAGTTACAGCTCGGCTAAATTTTTCGTTCTTTTGAGCTTTGAAAGCTCACCTAGAAAACTAATGAACTTTACTTAAAACCTGCAGCAAGCTTGGTAAAAGAAAATTTGATCCAATGCAAGCGGAAGGAACCAAGCCAAATCGGTTGAAAAAGAGGGGCAAAAGCTCGAAATTCGGACGACCATCCGTGAGAAAAAAAGTTCTAGCTCCGATTTTTCCAAATTCAATATTTCCTTCACCTTTCAATTATTCTCACCTCCTCAAAATATGGTTCGGTTTCTCACGCTTAACTGGGTCAGAGCACGAGGATACAGTGGCAAGGGGTGAATGATCGATTTTCGATATTTCCCTACTTGAAACTATGGTAAAGAATCGATTATTAAGGTGTCCGATGTGAACACCCTGTTTATCGATACTTTTCCATAGGTTTAAATGGCAGATTAATCGATACATCGCAAAGCACGCCACGCTGCGCTACTGCGAGAATAACTACGATGTTAATGACGAATCACGGGTTGGATCTAAAAAAGCAGGCGGGCCACCTGGAAAAATAGGCCAATTATTAGCGACTGCACTTGTTGTTGCAGCCGCCATGCACCTTGCACCTTGCACCATGCACTATGCACCGCGCGTAGGTTCTCAACCGATCGCAAGCGTGAACTTGCATAATGAATTCCACCGCCTTTACCTACATTTGAATTTTAAGGGGGCCTCTCTACCGTCTCAGCCTATCCCCCGCTTTCTTCGCCCCTTCCTAGCGTTTACGGGGAGTCTTGCAGGGTGAGAAAAAATTAACTGGATTTCTCTGCCGCTAAAAATAAAGCTACTTGTACATGTCATAGAATCAGCGAAAAATGATAATTTGTTATCATTTTTCACAAGTTCTCAACGCAACATTTCTTTCTCGGTGCTGAACCAACAATAAGTCTCATTCCTCTCCTTCTCGGTGCAAGATAAACCTGTGATCTGAGAATTCACCGTGAGATCGACCCATATCGCCCAGTGACGAGGCGTCAATGATCGATTATCGATATTTCTCAATTTGAAGCCAACGTAAAATATCGATCATTGAGGTGTTCGTTGCGAACATCCGGTTTATCGATCTTTTTTCAAAAGGCTTAAATAGCAGATCAATCGATTTATCGCAAAGCACGCCACGTCACTCACACCGCCTCGCAGTATAGAGGCAATAAAATCATCAAATTGTCAGCTGCCGTGCTAAGGAAGAACGCCGTATGAACCTTCAGGCGTTGCCAAATTTCCTCTGGTAAATCACGAATTCTGGAAAATTTGTCAATATTTTTCCTTCAATTTTTCAGATCATTTCGTTCGCGATTTCACCTATAAAGTTCCTGAAAATTTCAAAGAAAAATACCCATAACTTTCTTCAATAATAACTATTATTTGAGAGGAAATTTGGCAACTCTCGAATGTTCATACGACGTTCTCCCTTAGCACGGCAGTGTGGACGATAAGCGAAAAAATTCAAATTTCGAAAGTTACCAGGGTGGGCTGGGGGCCGCTTCAGACTTTCTTGTGTTGGTACAAGTAATAGACGCCGATCCCTATGAGCGTCAAGTCGAAAAAGAGGCAATCGACACAAAATTGAAGAACATTCAACAGTGCTTCTAGAGCCATTTTTAAGTGAACTTAACGTCGAAAAAGCTGGACGGAAGTTGGCGCTATACTCCTACAGATGCCCGTTCACGAAAGATAAGGCCGATGTCCGCTGTCGGTCACTTGACAAAACTACAGGATGCGACTCGACGACTGTGTAACATGGAACTCCCTCGTTTAATATGGTTACGTTACACAAGAGGCGCTTCGAGTCTTTGAATCAAGTTAACACGGTCGATGAACAAGGACAAAAAAAAGAGCACAACAACCGTGTGTAAAAAGAGGAAAGATTGTAAAAAAGGAGATGGAATGAGATGATCTGTGTGGTCTTCCAGAACACGGAAAAAATTTGAACTGATGATTAAAATCAGTGATTACATCGATTAAACTGTGTATTCAGATTACCGCGGAGGCTTGAAAGATTACGTGATGTTATTGGATGAAGACCAAAACAGGTCAAAATGAAAGCCATACAGATGGGTTTCTGCGCTCATTTCTGGTAGGTCAATCAAAAGACAAAGAAAGATCAATTTTTTTTGGAACGTCTGAAACAGTTGTTTCCACACACAGCCAAATTCTCTGGATTCTTAGTGGCAAAAGTTTTGACCGTTTAATACTCTCGTGACATAAGCATGCTAATTTTTTTTTTGAAAAATCCCACAAATATACAAATTAGCCCCATGAACATTACTATGTGTGTCAGAGATCTCATAATTTTTTCCGGCAGAACTGTTGACCCACCTCAGAAATAAGATTGTTTTGGGCCATAAGGGCTTCAAAAATCGAGTTGCTCATACTCTCCCTATAAAGATACTCTAATTTGACCAAGCTCTCGAGACGAAAGCACTAAACCGTTTTTCCAGTGCTTTTCCTCTAGTGTTACGGGATACCAGCCGGCGCGGCGGGTGACGAAACGGAAAGCATGAATTGGGAATGGGCGGAAATAGTTTTCACTTTCGAGCGTTGACTTGGGCGATGGGCAAGGGGCGGCGACGGTGAGCAGGGAAATACAGGATCAAGTTGGTATGGATCTGGCTCTAGGAGCGAGAAACGAACGGGCGACAACGACCCCGGTTGAAATAACAAAAACACAAACGCGGGTTGCTCCCGGCTCCCGGCTTCGGAGTCCGGGGATCCGAATAACAGGCCAAAATCCAAAGAGCGCCAAAGTGTGGGAGTCANGGTCGATGAACAAGGACAAAAAAAAGAGCACAACAACCGTGTATAAAAAGAGGAAAGATTGTAAAAAAGGAGATGGAATGAGATGATCTGTGTGGTCTTCCAGAACACGGAAAACATTTGAACTGATGATTAAAATCAGTGATTACATCGATTAAACTGCGTATTCAGATTGCCGCGGAGGCTTGAAAGATTACGTGATGTTATTGGATGAAGACCAAAACAGGTCAAAATGAAAACCATACAGATGGGTTTCTGCGCTCATTTCGGGTAGGTCAATCAAAGTAAAAGTACAAAGAAAGATCATTTTTTTTTGGAACGTCTGACACAGTTTTTTTCACGCACAGCCAAATTCTCTGGATTATTAGTGGCAAAAGTTTTGACCGTTTAATACTCTCGTGGCATAAGCATGCTAATTTTTTTTTGAAAAATCCCACAAATATACAAATTAGCCCCATGAACATTATTATGTGTGTCAAGAGATGTCATAATTTTTTCCGGCAGAACTGTTAACCCACCTCAGAAATAAGATTGTTTTGGGCCCTAAGGGCTTCAAAAATCGAGTTGCCCATACTCTCCCTATAAAGATACTCAAATTTGACCTGACTCTCGAGACGAAAGCACTAAACCGTTTTTCCAGTGCTTTTCCTCTAGTGTTAGGGGATACCAGCCGGCGCGGCGGGTGACGAAACGGAAGGCATGAATTGGGAATGGGCGGAAATAGTTTTCACTTTTGAGCGTTGACTATTGCACTTGGGCGGTGGGCAAGGGGCGGCGGCGGTGAGCAGGGAAATACAGGATCAGGTTGGTATGGATCTGGCTCTAGGAGCGAGAAACGAACGAGCGACAACGACCCCGGTTGAAATAACAAAAACACAAACGCGGGGTGCTCCCGGCTTCGGAGTCCGGGGATCCGAATAACAGGCCAAAATCCAAAGAGCGCCAAAGTGTGGGAGTCACTCCATGCACGGAAAGTCCCGCAGTTTTTCAGCGCTTCCGCGGATCCACCATCAACCCATGTTGCCACATCAGCTCCTCGCGCCTCACTTCGAAGACAATAATTTGAAGAGTGAAAATTCAACTACTTGTACCCGTCTCTAAATTACGTAACGCTCTGGGGGGGGGGGATGTTGTTGAGGAAAGCGTTACGCCATTTTGTTTTTTAGGTGATAAAGGATAGGGACCTACGTCACAAAAGCGTTACGAGGGGGAGGTGGGTGTCAAAAATGCTGGAGACTTGAGTAATATACCACTTTACCTACATTTTAGATGTATTACAACAGAAAGGCAGATCGTTTAATACAAATCAGTGGCAACCTATTTTAAAGCTCCATCAACAAGGTCCTGGCCTGATCGTCCTCGGGCACTCGATACCGAGAGTGATAAGGGCGACGATTAGCACAGAATCAGAATTGTTCTCTATCCAGCCCCAGCACTGGAGCACTGGTGCTACCTTTATTGCTATTTTCCCCCTATAGGCACGTTTCTTGGTTGTGTACTTGGTCTGTGTGTATGTGTGTTGTTGTGCCTTAAAATGCAGCGTTTGCCTGTGTGGAGAATCGGGAACAAGCCAAAGGGCAAAAACGCCGGACCGGCCGTGCTAAGGAAAAACGCCGTATGAACATCCAAGAGTTGCCAAATTGCCCCGGATGAAACGTTTATTTTTGAGGAAAATTATGCTCTTTTCGCTGTAAAATTTCCATACGCTTTAGATTGGATTGCGAACTAAATTATCTGAAAAAATTGAAGAAAAATATCCACTATTTTCCTAGAAAATTGGGTTTTTATCGAAGAAAATATGGCAACGTCCGAAGGCTCATACGGCGTTCTTCCTTAGCACGGCAGAGCAAGCGGTCCAAGTTTTGGAACTATCTGCGCCCTTGACTTTGAGTGGTCAGGCCTCGGAAGTAGAATTGGACCGCGCGCATTGAGCAGAAAGGAACCAAGCTACATCAGCTACTGCCAAATTTAACCGGGCAATTTAATTTTTTACAAGAAAACGTTTGTGCAGATTCCTTTGAAAATGTTAAGGAAGTTGCTTCGTACCATGCAGAAAATTCACTACAATTAGCACAAAAATTCGCACAACCGTTTTAACGTAAAAAATCAAAGTGCCCACTTAAATTTGGCAACAGCTGATGTGGCTTGGTTCCTTTTTACTTAACGCGGTACAGTTAATCTACTGTCCCTAGTGTCTCTACTATTTTGATTATAAAAGAATAGTTTTCTGAACCTCAAATGGAGTAATTTTTTGGTGCGAAAAACGGGCTTGTGTTTGGATAACTTACAAAATTAACGGAGTACATATCGTACAGGGCAAGAGCAGTTGGGACTGCGGCGAACAGCATTAAATGGAAAACGGAGAGGATGGCCAGCCAAGAAAAGAACCCCATGGCTCCTCGAGTGGCTTTGGACGCTTCGGCTAGAACTTCGAACGATGGGAAAGTCTCAAATCCTTCCAAGAAAATCTGACGAGCGCGAAAAACAGGAATAGCTTTGAGTTAATTCGGCTAACACAGAAAGTTCTATTAAAAGTTCACCTCGATATGTTAAGAGGGCTGAGCTACAGTCAGGAAAGCCAGAGGGCTAGGTGATCATCATTATGTAAAAACAAACGGTGACTGTACTTGCCAAAATAGCGAAGGCCTGAGCTCTATTTAAATGCCGCTGCATGAAATTAAAAATGGCCACCTGGATGGGAAAAGGGTAATAAGGCTGATTCATGGGCAACATGATGTGAGCTAACAGAAGGTTGAGGCATTTGATATTTTTTATTATTAATTTTGTATGGCAAATAGAAACACCAGAGTTAAGAGCTCAAGTCCAAAGGGTCTCACTCACGGAAAGAGATAATATAAATAAAATCGCACTATCTGTAGAGTTTACATTTTGTCTAGTCGGGTAGTCGTTGACTAATTCCACTTGAAATCGATGAAATCGACTAATGATATAAAAAGAGACTTCAGGTCCACTTTCACGAACCATGATTCATTATGATTAATTGTTTTTGTAGCCCAATATTATCACTGCGGTTCCGATCAAATTGGTAGATTACTCAACAAATTACTTTCCACGGAGGCTCAGAGCTACACTCGATGAAAAAAATGTTGTAAGTAAGTATTCCATCTTAAAAATAAAGAGTTGCGATGATTCGATTCGTATGAAAGTCTCTGCGAATGAAAATGGTACCCTTTAGGAATCATTATGCGGACAAGGAAACATTCGCAGAAAAGAAAATTACCTGATCACGCACAGGTTTTATTTAACAAATTTTCAAAAACTTTCAAGTCGGCAAAAAAAAATTGCATTATGCAATTGATTACAGGCTAAGTACATCTCTTCAACTTTCGACAATTTATTTTCTGGCAAAATTTTGACGATTCTTCCACAAGCCTTAGAACATAAAATAGAGAATCTGCATGTTTCCTTGATGGCAGATACCTCTTTAATTTTTATTTAAGCTTTTCCTCAAGACCAAAGACGGACGTATATTCGGGAAAAATAAGATGACAAGCGACTTACAGACAACACCGCTAACCGTATACGATGTCCAATAAGAGAATCCCTAAGATAATAGCCAGAATGTTGTTGACGTAGGTGCCCAAAATCCACATCCTGAACCCGATCCAGGCGAGAAGACTAAGAGGAAAAGTAACGTAGTAGTAAGAGCAGTGCAGCGTTACAACGTGGTCTCGTGAATGAGACGAAGTCGAAAAGTTAGGTTAGGTTCCCGCGCTCACGACCGAAGCGTCGTCGCACAAGGGCGAGCAACTTCAAATTTTCTTTCGAAAAAAATTAATTGTGTACCTATTATACTTGAGAAGACGAAGGTTCGGCAATCAAAACTTAAAAAAATCGTTGGATGTTGGGTTCGTTGTTCCCTGTGATGCCTTGTCTCCACGGGACGTTTTCATGGGATTTGTCCCAAATTCGAATCGCAGGATTGAAACTTCTGGGATTTTCTCCAGTTACCGTCTCCACGGGACGGGGCTCTTACAGTCCTGCGACTAGTTTGCGCGTGAAGATAAATTAGTTGAAGTCGAGTATTTAACCGGTATTAAAATGATAATTGCACTCAATTGACAATTAGACACATTATATTACAAAAGTTACAGTTGGATGAATATAAATTCCAATTGATAATTCTCGGACGAGTATGTTGAGTCAACAGCAAATCTCCCTGTTTCGAAAGGTATGTCTGTTATTTCGAAGAGACGTCATGTCCACTTTGAAAAAATTTCCGATTGACTCGACGAAAGTTCTCGGCAGGGTATTGTTAACTGGAAAATTCTTCTCAGTGCGGTGTCGAGAAAAGTTGGGTGAAGAAGAAATAAGAGGACAATTTGAGAGGTTCCTGAGAATATCAGCGCAAGTATTAGCGCCGATATTTTTGTCCCTTTTATGTATAGCACCTGAATAGGGTAAAGTATAATACTGGCGCATCAAGAGGAAGACCATCTAAAACGCTTCCGGACTTCCCAGGGTTATAATATTGCTTGATATTGCCTGCAACTGCACGACTGTCAGTGGACTATGACTCGCTATGGAGAATTTCCTGTCTTCTCTTCAAATTGCGGTCCGATTATAGTTTTCACGATTTTTCAATTTTCTAGATTGGTAGACTTGACCTTATATTTGGTAGATCTTAGGTGTAGCCCTGTAACAGTTGTGTCTTCAGTAAAGCCTTCAAGTTTTAGGTTTCAGATTTTGATGAAAATGCTGTGAAAATAACAACATCATCCGATGTTCGTGACCAGTCGGGCAATTTTCCTGCGGTTTTGCTCCTCGATGACGTCACGGGACATCCCATTGTGCGACGCTCCGTTTGCTCGGTGGCGTCGCGACGCTTTCGACTTGAAAGCTGGACGGGTCGTGACGTGGGCTCGGCCAAAAACAATAACGACGCTTACGCGGCGGAGACCCCCGGCCCCGTTCGATGTTGCCTCTTCATTCCTTAAAAAGGACCGCCCATGAATTAATTAAGGCACTTTCCTGGAATGAAAGGCCCTTCACCTCTTCCCGTAAGGCTGCACCCCTGCAGGCTGATTGTTGAAATTGATAGACAAAGCTATAGACAAAGAGGACATACGGAGTATAGAGGGATCCTATTGGTTGAAATGGGTGGTTCCTACAAACTGAGGGAGAAAATGATGGGCTAACTATAGGTTCTCTCATGGGTTGCCGTTAGTTCGTCTATTACATACCTTCTCTGTCCATTGCAACCACCTGATTCCAACAAAAGGATCCCTCTATATCCTTTCTGTCTTCTTTGTCTATAGCTTTGTCTATCATCAATTTCAATAATCACCCCGCTGGAGATCCCCCCCCCTTCCGAAGGTTTAGGTAAGGCTACCCGCACCCTCTTCCCTTCTAAGGGCGGAACCCCATGATTTAGCTAGAAATAGTGTTGAGACAAATCGGTATATTGTTGAAAGCATCAAACGTGGTAAGGAATTTTCTTTTTTTAAAAAAAATTGTTTTTTCTTAAAAAAATTTACCTATACACCAGAGGGATTGTTTTTGTTTGAAAACCATTATTTTCAACGGGATATGTTCTACCATTTGTTCGATGAATCCTCAAATTTTCACACTCCCTCACCTCACAATACTTAAAACATTTGCAGTGTTTTTCTTTTTTTTAAAATGAAGTTTTGCTTTAAGTTACATGTTTCTTACTGACGCAGGCCCACTGTTGCTAACTTTTGAGTGGAAAATACGCAGGGCAGGGCGCTTCAAATCGTATGAATCAAGAGTGGCGGTAGCCACCCCCGGTCGAGGAAAATGACGTCCTACTAAAGTCCCGATAACAAACGGGTGGCCGACACTCTTAGTCACAGGCAACTCCCTTAATCTGAAAATTGATTCGATTTAGAATGGAATTCAGAGCAAACGGCGGCACGGATTCCAACGATCTTGGTGTCTATGGACGCAGCTAAGTTAGCCGGATGGCGTTTAAGGGTTTCATTAAGATCCAT